TTTCTTTCTTTCTTTCTTTCTTTCTTTCTTTCTTTCTTTCTTTCTTTCTTTCTTTCTTTCTTTTGTCAGAGAGCATGAGCTGGGGAGGGGCACAGAGAGAAGGGGACAGAGGATCTGTAGCGGGCTCTGTGCTGACAGGCTGACAGCAGCAGGTCCGATGCAGGGCTCAAACTCATGAACCATGAGATCATGACTTGAGCCAAAGTTGGATGCTCAACCAACTGAGCCACCCAGGTGCCCCCTCACAGCTGATTCTAGTCATCCCTTGTTCACACATTTTCATCAGATGTCATGGCCCTCATGACAGAGGTCACATTCAGGCTCACATCCTAAGCCCTCCCACAGTTTGGTCCCACCCGGCTTTCCTGACATTATTCCCAGTAATGCCCTTCATGGAATCACGGAAGTGCTTCTGCTGATGTTCTTTCTGCACAACTTCCGTGCACCTTTGGACCTACTGTCCAAATCTCCCTGGTTTTCCCCAATTTCTTCTCAGCAACTCTATCCATCCTTCTATGCCCTTTCAGGGGCTGCCATCCTTATGACATTTTCCTTAGTCCTCTCAGCAGGATATTATGTGTTCCTCCTGGAGCATCATAGCACTTCATGTATAAGTGTTTTATAACGCTTACCGAATTCTGTCTTGAGTGCCAGTTACTTGTATATCTAGCATATGCTTGCCTAAAGCTCAGTGCAGTAGGCCTCGGTCATCTTCACTGCATATTTATGTCCCCTTCAGAGCCTAACACAGGGCTTTTATGTAATAAGAATGAAAAAAAATTGTTGAACAAACATAAGGAGTTTTATGTGTTATTTTTACATGTATAAAATATTCTGCCATAACTAGGAATAATGTGTACAATATTCTTCTGTTTTTTAATTGTAGCTCTTCTACAGTAAAAACAATGATGGAAATTCAAATTAGTAGGCAGTCACAGAACTACTTTGTTTTTGTTTTTGTTTTTTTTTTAGAGAAAGAGAAGGAGAGGGCACATGAGTGGGGGAGGGACAGAAGGGAGAAGGAGAGGGAGAATCTTAAGCAGGCTTGATGTTCAGTGTGGAGCCCAGTGTGGGGCTCAAATCCACAACCCTGGGATTATGACCTGAGCCAAAATCAAGAGGTGGATGCTCAACCAGCTGAGCCACCCAGGCACCCCACAAAACTATTTTAAATTGAGTTATAAGTGTGGCTTCATAGTTAATTGAAACATGGGTATGTTTAGTGTTTCCAAATTCACTTCACATCGAATAAGGAAACCTTGACAAGGAGGCCTGAAGAATCTGAGCCTTTTGTTCAGCCTGCCCACTCAGTTGGCTTCATGGTGGAACTAGATTGTTCTTCCCCACACTTGAGCACTCATCACCATGCACGTCCAACAGAACTGGAATGATGGCTAATATTTGTCTTTCAAACGACTTCCTTGTAGGCATGTTAAGGAAAGAGATGCCAGTATAAATAAACAGGTTAGGGCCACTTGAAACACATTTGCCTGAAGATGAATGTCAATATGGATGATAGGAGAGCATTTGCTGTTAGTAGAGTTCCAAGCTGGCCCCTCTCACACCTGCAGCCTCACAGCCCGGTCTCCCCCAATTACCACTTTTAGAATAGTTTCGTGAAATGCCTTCTTACTGGGAATTGGATTTAAAGACCTGCATCAGGAGACACTTACGATGATTATGCTTACCTTTGTTTAGAGTCAGGGTTTAATAAGACCATTATCCTCTCCATTTTAAGGAGGAGTCCCATAGAGCAATGCTTGCCAACTTTTACTGTTTGTGGATTACCTGGGAATCTGTGGAGATTCAGAGTGTAATTCGGCAGGAGATTCTACACTCCTTACTAGCTGCTCTGTAAGGCTGATGCTGCTGTCTGTGGACCACACTAGGCAGAGGCCCACAGGAAGGTCCTGGGAACTTGGTGATGCTGGATTCCATTCCTATCCAGGCTGGTCACTTAGGCAAAGTGGCTTACCTTTCTGGGTCTTAGTTGTCCTAACCTGCAATGTGAGGAGGGTGAAGGGAACGATATCTAACAGCCCTTTCCTGCTGTAATATTTTATGATGACATGAGAGGAAATAGAAAGAATGAGGAGTCAGGCTGAAGGTCTTATTAAGAGTTTGTCTTAAATGTGGTACAAATAACAAACATTGAATTTATGTTAGAATGTGGACCTTCAAAAAATAATTATGTCTCATGATTTAATCAAGAAATTGCATGTAAAATAACCTTGCCCTCCACCCTCATCTTTTGTGTATGTTCTGTTGTTTTGTTTTATTAGGAGATACTCCATAGCTTGGGCGGGATTGAAAACCTAGCACAGGTAAGATTCCTTTGTGGTGGCTCGTCTTGCCTTTCCATTTCACGCCATGGCTCGGGGCGAGGATTACGTAGGTGTGTGACAGCAGATGGCTTTCCTACCTTAGGCTGCCGGCCAAGGGGAGGAGCAGGCAGGGTGGATAAGTGTGCGTATGGCAGGATACTCACAGAGCAGGAAGGGACCCATGACATTTTGTTCCAGGTGATTTTACCCAGCCTGCCGAAACAAGAAAGTTCTATAAAAGGTCACATGTCTTTAATTAGTAATGAAAAGAAATAGGTGTTGCCTGGCAGGACCAAATCCTCAGCATTGCACATACCAGATGAGGGGAGAAAATATTGGTTATGAAGAGGCTTATCATTTTTCCACAAAAAAAGAATTCTCGTGCTCACTGAAATATTTCCAAATACATGACAATGTGAGGAATAGTTTTAACTTCACTTAGTTTTCTGCTTTTGTAACTACTGAGGGAAGGCGAACAGGTAACTGTATATGTTGAGCCAGTTAAATGTTTGGGTTTATTAGTATGATAAAACAAAATTTTCTAGGCAGGGCATTGGGTTGGAACAGCCCATTCTCCTAAAACCTATGGCATGTACAGAAAGAATGATTTTCATAATAAACCAATGGCCCTGCAAACTCATTCCATATTAATGGAAGATTAAATTTAATGGCAGTTTAATGCTAAACCTATCTTATTTTATTATATTTTCATTCCTGGGAAATTGCTACATCATGTCTAGTTTTTATTTTTAAGATTTGTCTTTTAATTGGCTGGGGGCTTACCTCATTTAATGGCATAGTCTTTCATAAAATCATATTCTAAAGGATCCTCTTATCCACCTTCATTTCCCTTGTAATATTAGAAATCTATGTGTGTTACTCTGAGCCTATTTCTTATATAATCAATTATCTACAGTGAGGGATTATCAGACTACCCCCTACCCATTTTATTCTGATTATTGGTATATGGGGTATGACGGTTGTGTGTGTGTGTGTGTGTGTGTGTGTGTGTGTGTGTGTGTGTATACATATACATATACATATACATATACATATACATGCATATGTATGGTATTTGGAGGCAAATTACACCACGAACTCATTTAGTTACGAGTCATTTGAGCACTTTTGAGAGTTTACATAATCTTTCCATGGTCCCTCCCTGAAATTCAGGGCATGCAAGAGAAGGTGAAGAATCTAGAAACTCAAGCTACCTTTTGCCCTTAAGTGAACCTGGCCCAGGGACCCGAGTGTTATTTGGTGTATCTGTTGTGCCATCTACAGCTCATTTTCAGAAGTACACATCTTGTCCTTCATCTGCTCTCTTGTTGGTTTGGTCCCTCCTGCAGTACATGGAGATCGTGGCCAATGAGTACCTCAGCTATGGGGAAGACCAGCACGGTGTGGACAAGCTGGTCAACATGACATGTAAGTGTTGTTGCAGGGACACAGCAACTTTCCTGATTTGCTAGAATGAGCAGGATGGTCTTTTCAGCAGGAAAAAGGGTACTTGGAATACTTATGAGTCTACCCATCCACAGTCATGGTATTGAGAGTCTATGTCAGTAGTTCTATTTAGTGGCAAAATATACCCGGAAGGAAAATTTCAGATCACAACTCTTACCTTGAAAAGCCCAGTTTCGGGTGGAAGATTTTCAGTGAGTACAGGCCTACTTTAATGCAACAGAGACTTCCATAATGGCAGATTTGGGTAAAAATATTTTTTGCTTTCTTTGATGTCTATTAAAATGTCATAGGCCATTCAGTTTTCATCTATAAAATTGGGTTAATACTAATAATACCTACCTCATAAAATTTAAAACATTGTGCGCATAAAAAAAGAAAGAAAAAGACCCTGCTGTAATGATGATAACGTGAAATCATTGGCCTGTGGGTGTGGCACTCAATCTTCCCTCTTTGGAAGGCCCCACCTTCCATCCTCTCCAGGTTTGACGATCTGTAGGCCCCCTGTTGTTGTTGGGTGCTGGCCCATTTTCTTTGTGTGAATGGTCTAATTTACAGTGTTTGTTTCCACGGCAGCACACTGATTCTCAGTTAAAGGGAGAAGAGAGTATGTCACAAGCCCTCGGCACCAGGAAGTCTCTCTGAGAACAGCTGTTCTCTTCAGCTGGGGAACCTTGCTGTGGCCATCACCTTCACTGGCCTCCCCCCTCCTCTTTATACTTGAAATCTTTATAGGGGGGAATCTTTGAAGAGTAGGTTTCACTTTGAACTTTTAGAGGACCCTGTTGAGGACCTTAAGGGAAGGAGATGTTTGTCTTTTTTGTTGTCTCCATATTTATTGTTATAATACTAAGATATAATAATTATTAGTTGAGCTTAAGAGGTAATTCTCAGAATTAAAAAAAAAAGAAACCAAAAACCTCTGTTCCTTCTCCCTCCATTGTTTCTTTTGTGTTATCTGTCTTCCCATTTGCCCTTTCTCTGCTTGCCCTTCCGGTAGTTCAGACCTGAGTGTCTATGAATACTGCTGCCTTTAAGCACCGAATCCCTCTTTCAGCTATTTCCTTTCTTTATAGATATTTTTCAAAAACTTGCTGCTGTCAAAGACCAAAGAGAATGGGTCACCACAAGTGGAGCCCACAAGGTGAGCCATCCCAGAAGGAGTGAACACTTCAGCTCCATATGTCAGTGGATTGCTGCTGAATTTGAGAGCCCCATGATCAAGTTTCTTATAATTATAGTTCACAAAATCTACCCTAGAATTGTACATCTCTGCCAACCCTTTTATATTCTTTATTAGTCTAAGGAGCATATATGGAAATAACAAACAGGTTTCCTGAAACTCTTTTTTTTTCTTTTTCCTATGCCACTTAAGAACAACCAAGTTCATTGTTTTATTTAAATGTTGCTTGAGAAACCCTGGCTATATATATATATATATAAACTTACCCTAGGTGTGTGTTAACAAGTGAACAAATAAAGCGTATGTACACATCTAAATACATTCCATATGGCACATGGGGTTATATTTGTTTGAACCGTATGAAATTGTCATGTCTATATGCCAATTTCATATGGTTCAACTTTATAATCAGATGGCATAGTATTACAGGCATCTGGATCAAATATGCATTTCAAGATAAATGAATGCAGGTTTAATTAAAACAGACTAAATTTATATTTATAGTAAAGCTGTTTAGGTGGGAGCTGCCTACAGCCAAGTTCTAATACTCTGTTGAGTTGTCATATCCCAGGAGGTTACTTCCTAGCATGTACCAGAGCAAGGTTGCCTAAAATGTGTTCACACATGCTGCCCATTGTGTAGGAGATGATTCTGGGTGATATACAAGTCAACACTTTTCATTTTGATAGCCACATATATTTCACCGATACTATCACTGAGAATTTAAGGAACATTTTGAATAGCATTAAGGAGGATATGGCAAAAATTGTGGAAGGGATATGTCAGGGACTGAAGTTTGGGGAACATTCTATTAGAAGATAGAGAAAAAAGTGAGAGAAGAATAAGAGGAGGGGATGAGAGAAATGAAGATAATGATAGCTTCATAAAAACACGAATGAAATCATAAAGGGGAAAAATTGGCATAAAAGAAACCCAAATCTCCTCATCAGTTGTTGCACGGCTTACAGCTCTGGCCTGCAGTGTGTTTGGGGGTGTACTTTTGGGGGACTCTGAGTTCTAAAAGTCTCTGGGGAAGGGGACCTCAGAAGAGGCAACTGATAATGTACAGACTTGCAGCTAAGTCATGTTACTTAGGATGATGCCTGGAAGCATCGATTCATGCTCTTTCAACATCAGTTAGTAATCTCAGAGGCAAATGGAGTGCTTGCTAATGTTGATATACGTTACTTAGTTGGGGGGGGGGGGTGGGAAAGAGAGTTTTCAATACTTTGGTGGAAAATAGTTCCTCAGTTTGGAAAGAGGCTACCGTAAAGCCTGGTTCAGAATGAGCTCCCGATGACTGGTTGCTACCAGTATTGTGGTTTCTATTATTACTCTCTCTACTTCTCCTTGGGGAGAGATCAGAAAAGGCAGAGCAGACCTCCTGGGCACATGAAAATAGAGGGAAGAGTGAGACCTTTGGTCGTGTAGCTTGGTGGCTTTGGCTTCCTGCCCTGGGTAAGGAATGGCTACAAGGAACTTGTCTTAAGTCTCAAAGCAGGAAGGGGCCCTACCCCCTGGAAGAGCTGGGTGTGGTGAATGTTTACTAAAACTCCTCTTGAGGTTAAGCTCAATGATCTTTGAAAGAAACATTATACCACCCAAGAAGCTTGTAGCACTTACGCAATGAAACTTTCTTTTACTTCATTTTTCAGACATTAGTAAATTTACTTGGTGCCCGAGATACTAATGTTTTACTGGGTGCCCTTCTGGCTCTGGCTAGTTTAGCTGAAAGGTAAGTGTATTTTACTGTACTTTTCAGTTTCACTACTGTAGCAGTTTAGGTGGGAGAGATGGAAAATAGATCAGTTTCTCTAGTTGCTTACCTACTTAGTTATAGTTTGTGAAAAATAAGCATGGAATAGCATTAATATATAGAAGAGGATCCTGGACAAAAAAGTATCATTTTAAAACTTAAGATGGAAAGGAAAATCCCAGTTTAAATTTTTTTTTTCATTTTTTCCTAGCCGGAAATACTTACCTAGTCTTTTATCCAACCCTCAGATAACTTCCACTTTCAAAATTACCACAATTTTTCTTTGACAACTAAATCTCCCCAACCTTAAAAAAAACATTCTCTCCTATGTATTTATTTTAACATCTAAAACATTTTCAAACATTTTTACCCTTAATACAATTCTGGGTAGCATGTTCCCTTTATAGATATCATGATCAGTTTAAGGAAAAGTGCTTTAAATATATTTTTATGCCAATAAGTGGATCAATGCTTTTTTCTTTTTATTTTTTTAAACTTTATAAGGAATAATTGACTACTCTCATTACATACGTTTAAAGTGCACAACATGATGATTTGATATACCTTATATATATGGAATGATTATCACGCTCATGACAATTAATACACTCATCACACCACCTCCTTAACTCTGTGTGTGTGTGTGTGTGTGTGTGTGTGTAGTAATTACACTTGAAATCTGCCCTCATCAGCTGTCAAGTGTACAATATCACACTATTAACTATAGTGTCCATGCTCTACATTAGATCTTCAGTATTCATTCTTTTCATTACTGTAAGTTTGTATCCTTTAACCTGTATTTCCCCCTCCTTCTAGCTAGTTGCATCTGGCAACTATTCACCATTTCAATCTCTGTTTCTGTGTCATCAGGTCTTTAATTTTTATTTTATATTCCATGTATCACTGATATCATATAGTAGTTACCTTTCTCTGTCTGGCTTACTTTACTTAGCATAATTCCCTCCAGGTTTATCCATGTTGTCACAAATGGCAGAATTTTGTTCCTTTTTATAGACAGACAATAATATTCAATTATATACGTTACATACACACAAACACACACACACACACACACACACACACACACCTGTATAGGTCATTTTTATATCTTGGCTACTGTGAATAATGCCTATTATTACTTTTTTATGAACAGCATATGATTCTTTTTGGAGAAAGGGAATTATGTTATCATCATACTGTCATTAAACAAATTTGAATTTATGACATATGACATTTATTGAATGTGGGAATTTGATGTAGCCCTAGCCCATGGAGCTATATTGCTTTTTGTTTCTCCTCCTGAGATAATATGAGAACTGGAGTATTAGATAAATGGATATGGTAAAGTATGTCTTTAGTAATTACTAATAGTTTTTAATTTGTAGTCCAGAATGTAGGGAGAAGATAAGTGAACTCAACATTGTAGAAAATCTGCTGATGATTTTACATGAATATGACTTGCTTTCCAAAAGGTAGGATTGCTAATAGGGAAAAGACAATACCATAGTTGATGAAAATTATTATAATCATTTTTATGATGTCCTGTTATTTACATTGTTAACTGAAGTTATGAGTCACCTTGACATTTATTTTCTCTTAAAGTTTTTATAAATAAACTAGAACAGAGAGGGTGTATTGATTTATCTTTGGTTTTGCACCACTTCTGGATTTGGGCAAAGAATCAAATTATATAAGTCTTACGATTACATCCTTAATATTTTTGTTTATTGAATTTTTTTTTTTACATCCTGTGCCTTTAAGGAAAGAAACTCTGAGGTGGCTCTATTTTTAGTAATTTCAGATTATATGTTGAATAAATTATTAGATCGCTAAAATCTATTTTGCTTAAGTCAAGTAAAATACATTAAGATAGCTACTGACTTGTTTCATGACCACCTGTTATTATAACTCTAAACAGAACCGAAAATGCATTCATTTTCACTTGAACTTACATATTGCTCTGAAGAATTACTGTATCCAGATAGTTATTGGGTAGTTTTAAATGGAGTTGCAACCTACATTATTTGATACTTGGTTAAGTAAGTCATAATTTTCTCAAGAAGTAAAGCAGGTAACAGACATCAAATAATGAAGTCCTGACACGTAACCATAGTAAACCCCCTTGAATCTTTCCTCTCAGTTTCACCCTCTTTTCCAGACTATACTTACAGAGTTGCTTACCTGAGCCCATTGCTAGGAAACAGCCTCTGCCCAGATGTTAGAATGCCAGAGATGAATAGGATAGAGTGTATAGTGTGGGAGAGAGGACGGGCATGCAGGTCAGTGGTTTCACCATTGTGCTGTAAGTGGTGTGGTTGATGGGTTCACAGGACACCGTGGGAACAGAGAAGAGAAGCTCCCAGTCAGAGCCAGGGGTCATGCCAAGTTTCCGGAAGGAAGACGGAGTTATCTAGGCAAAGGGAGAGAACAAGTGAAAACAGAATGAGCTCCCACATGGAGGCATGAAATGGTCTTTGTTCGAGGCAGTGCATGGTTGGGCACAGCTGGAACAGAGTGCAAGAGGGAAAGTGCCAGAAAACTAGACAGTTAATCTTGAGTTAAAAATATAGCTAATTTTTATCCAGCTTTCTATATGCCAGGCCCTGCTCTAAGTGCTTTTGTGTGTTAACTCATTTGATTGGCACAATAACCCTGTCAATTTCCATATTTTATAGAGGAAGCAGCAAGATGCCTTTAGCCAGGCCACCGTGGGCTCTTTGTGCCGAATAAGAGTGTGGTTTTTATCTGTGAACATTATGGGGACTCCCAGGAAGATTTTAAGCATGATCAGATTCATTTTGGGGGAAGATTACTCTGGTGGCTGTGTGTAGGGTGTGTGATGTGGGGAATGTAGCCACACAATGAGCTCCACTTAGAACAAGGAGGGAACATTTGGTGTGGAAAGTTCGAGGAGATGAGGAATACTATTTGCCGAAAAACATACGTTCTGAATGCCAGAGCACAAAAGTTTGGGAGGGATTGGAGCTGTGAGAAATTGGCTCAGGGGAAAGGAACTGTAGAGTCATGTGGGCATGAGAAGATTGGAGAGGCGAGTGACAGAGGGGCTTATGTCTTGGACACAATCAAGGATCGCAAGAATGGGAGGAGCGGCGGGGTTAGCCAGCTACATGACCTGTAAGAGAATTAATCTCGGCAGTTGCCCAGGAAATAGGGGGCCCTGAAGGCTCTTGATTGGCAGGGGCAGATTGGGAAAGGAGAAGCAAGCGTCTTGGATGATTCCGTCTTCTGATTTGGGAAATTGAAAAGGCTGTAGTTTCATGAATCAACACTGGGCACATAAGAGGAAGAGCCAACGTGAAGAGGAGGATAATGACTTTGAGCTGAGACCCAGTGGGGTGACACACATGGTGGACTGCCATGTGGCTAGAACTTCTGGAGGCTGAGAGTGATGCCTGGGCCCAGCTCACGGTGCCAGGACAGAGCGGGTGTTTGAAGCCACAGGAAAGGATACCGCTGTCCAGCGAGAGTGTTTAGGGTTAAGGATGGCTCTATGTAATGTGCATCATCATCATGTTTCAGAGCTCAACTGAACCCACTGTCACATGCTATCATTATCTTTATTTTACTGTCCAGATACTCACTGGGCACTTTGCGTTTACTTTCTTTGCATTGTAGGGTTGTTGTTGTTGTTTCTCATTTTGTTTTTGCCATTTGTGTTAATGTCTTGTTTTTGTAACCACCTAGTAAGTTTCTGAAGACATGGGTGGAGATTTTATTTCTTTTGTCTTGAGCACAATGCCGGTCCTATTGTATGATACACGGTATCTATTTGCTGGTTAGTAGGTTTTTAGCCAGACCAGTGGGCTCAGAGTGAGGCTCTGACTTAGAACAGCGGGTCAGTGAACTCTGACCTGCAGGCTAAATTTGGCTCCCTGCCTGTTTTTGTAAATAAAGGTTTATTGGAACATAGCCATGCCCTTGTGTTTTTATGTATTGTCTGTGGCTGCTTTTGCATAGATTGGCTCGGTTGGGTGGCTGGCAAAGCATAAAACACTGGCCTGCAATCCAGCCCCTTACAGAAAACATATGTTGACCTGTGACTTGGAAAATGTTACAGGGATGCAGTGATGATGGCTCTAGTCTAAATGTGAAGTCAATAACCCGCCATGCCGGGGTTCTCATTCTCCTCCTCCCCCTCCCCTTTCAGATTAACCGCAGAGTTACTGCGCCTACTTTGTGCTGAACCCCAGGTAAAGGAACAGGTGAAGCTCTATGAGGGGGTACCTGTCCTCCTCAGCCTGCTCCACTCGGACCACCTGAAGCTGCTCTGGAGTGTTGTCTGGATTCTGGTTCAGGTTTGTGAGGACCCTGAGACCAGTGTGGAAATTCGCACTTGGGGAGGCATCAAGCAGCTTCTTCATATTTTACGAGGGTGAGTCAGAGGGGGCCTTTGGCCTACTCTGCCCCAGTCACTGAAGGCCGGGGAGCCTGCCATCCAAGGGCACAATTAGTACATTGGCACATTACCAGCTAACTTCCTCCGCTCCTTGGCCATTGCTGTCGTGGACAGTCATTTATCCTTGTCACAGACGTGCGTGAGCTCAATATCAGGGGCATGCATCTTTTAAGCTTCTTGGGAGCCCTCAAATATTTATCTTTGAATCACAAGCCTCCAGTTCCGTACCAGGAATATAGAAGGCCATCAGTCTGCAAATGTAGATTGAATGTGGAGACCCAAGAACCTGAAGAAAACATTTCTCTTGCCCCCTTTTTCTTGACGTGCTCTATGCGTATTGTAATCCCAACAAATACAGTAATGTTCCTTTGAATTTGCTATTTTCCTAAGATGTCTGCATCTGTGTATATGTCATTCATATCTACAAAGAGAAAGCAAAACCTGCAATGAGAGGATAGAGGAATAACCCTTAGCTAAAAGGGGAGAAGACATTATTTATCAAATGATTAGCATGTGCTGACCCTGGTCCAGTTGCCCTTCTCTCCTCTCTGATCTTTCTTGCCTGAAGGTGGGCTAGCACCTTATCTGTCATTCAAAAGTAGAATTCTAATGACACCCAAGACTTGAGCGCCGAGAAGGAATGGTTGGTTAAAATAGTTTCAAATTGAAATTTTCTTGAAGTATGTGGCAATAAGTGTGTATTAGATATATTGAAGTAATGCATAAGGATATCTTTTGGTATGTCGGTGGGAAAGTTCTAGTAACTACAATTATCATAAGGCATAATTCAGCCTTATAGGTACAGAATCAAAGTTGAAAAGGAGCACGTCTGCCTGAAAGGAATCACACTTGTAATCCACAGTACATAAATAAAGCTCACTCTAATAAAAGCAGAATGACTTATTCTTAATACGACCAGATATTATCAAATCAGTATTATTTAGACTTTGTGCCTGTTGTACCTCTAGGGATATTATGGAACTCCATGTTGTCAACTTCATTTTCTGTGAGGACGTTTCCAAGTATAAGAACAGACTATAGAGATGTGAACAATAGCTTTGTTAATGATTTCTGTCGTTACCAAAACAAAGGAAAAAAAATAGAAACTGTTGACAGTGTACTCACTTCTATGAATATCATAGGAATATCTCAATTTATAGTATAAATTATAAATCTCCCATTTGTACTGTGGCATAATAAGCTAGCTCCTTGGACGTTTAGCAAAAGTTTTTTATTTTTTTGTTTGTGTGTGTAGAATGCGATGGTAGTGGTGGGCATTATGATTCACCAGTACGCCTAGTGCAATAGCTATGGACCACCCTCTCAGAGAGCACTTATTTTCCTTGATGATAAAGCGAATTTCTACCTGGTTAAGCAATACTTCAAAGATAAAACCTACCTTTTTTACCACTTAGAATTCAGTTTAATACAAGGCAGCAGTTTTCCTCTTGTGCTCAAGATGTAACCATCCTTAATAGAAAAGAGTTCATGCATGTGTGGAGAGTCATTTTGCCAGTCCATTTCTATGGTGCAACGTTAGAAAACTCTTCCCTGGGAAAATGACATATGTCAACACTCATTCTACGTTAAATATGTCTCAGTGCTCTGGGAGAATTTATTACCCCAGCTGGGTAAACACTGTCCTTTCACAGCTTGTGCCTGCCCCGGAGCTGCCTGGGGCGGGTACAGGGGGTGGAGGTTGCCAGATTGTCTGCCGGCTTGAGTATGAACAGGGATTGTTGTCAAGGCAGTTTCCAGAAAGCCTGTTCACGCCCATTCACCTACAGTCCTAAACTCAAGAGTGGTTCCTAAAAGGCTGTATACTCGAGTAGGGGGAGTGATCTCTAAAATTTGAGTTTTAACATAATTTTGTTGACAGGTAAGGTCACCAGTTGTGACTGTCCATACACCTTAGCTCCATTACCTTCTCAATGCTAGTTGAAGGAAAGGCACTAGTGGGCTCTGATGACACAGGAGGGAAGCCAAGGAGACTCTATGTTTGTTAGATTTAGGCACAAAGAAATCCAGATTGAGCTGCTGCTGTAAAAAATAAGTAAATGAAAAAAATATGGTATTCACATACAACAAAAAAGAACAAAACAGATAAAAGACATGAAGAATCGATTGTAGAAGATGTTACCTTGAGGAAACAGAAAAACAAAAGCCTTATTTTATCAAAGATGTTAAACGGAACATGACATTTATGACCCGAGATTAAAGATGAGATGCTAGGACAACAGAAAGGGGAGGAGAGAGATCGCAGAGCTAGGGAAAAGGCAAGGACTGAATAATCCACAGAACTGAGATGTTCATCAGAGTACCGGACAGAAACTGGAATTAGTACAAGGAAGGGCAAGCTTGAAAAAAATTGCACATAATGTGGAGGAAAAAGTCAAAGGAATGAGAACCATTAGAGAAAGAAGGATATGGTTCGCAGAAGATGAGTTTTGAACTTGTGGATACTTGATATCCTGGGTTAAAGAATAAAGCAGAAGGAATAAAAAAAAATTCAAAGATGTAATAGAAGAGACCTTTACCAAAATAAGATTGGAATTTCTTGGAAAAAGAAAACTCAGACTGATGAAGACTGAAATGTAGTCAGGTGTATTGATAGCAGCAGAATAGAGTTGAAAAACAAAGGTGGACATGTGGAGCAGTGGGGAAATGACAGTCTTTTCAATGAATAGTGCTGAGTCAGTTCAGTAACCATTAGGGGAGGAGGAAAGGAAGGAAGGAAGGAAGGGGGAGAAGGAGGGAGGGAGGGAAGGAAGGAATGGAGGAAGGAAGGAAGGAGGAAGGAAGGAGGGAGGAAGGAAGGAGGAAGGAAGGAAGGAAGGAGGGAGGGAGGGAAGGAAGGAGGGAGGAAGGAAGGAAGGAGGGAGGGAGGGAAGGAGGGAGGGAGGGAAGGAAGGAATGCAGGAAGGAAGGAAGGAGGAAGGAAGGAAGGAAGGAAGAAGGGAGGGAAGGAAGGAAGGAGGGAGGGAAGG